TCCCAGGACCCTGGGATCATGACCTGAGCCGAAGGCAGACGCTTAACGACTGAGCCACCCAGGCGCCCTAAATAAATAAAATCTTAAAAAAAAAATAAAAGAGCTCATCTGAAACTTTTTCTGTAAAGGGACAGGTAGTAATTATTTTAGGTTTCATGGGCCTATGGTCTCTGTTGCAGCTCTTCAACTGCTACGGTAGCATTGAAGCAGCCGTAGATAATATGTAAACAAATGAGTGTGACTGTTCTGGTAAAATTTTATTTACAAAAACAAGCTTAGGTCTTTGGGCAGTAGTTTGCTGCCCCTGATCTAGAAAAATACTTTCAGGTGAGCTTTTTTAAATGAGTCATCAAGTCATAGAATTTGAAGGTAAAAGAGATCTTAGAAATCATCTGGGCCAACCACCTTTCTGTAGAGATAAGGAAATAGGAGTTGGGTCCAGTTCCCACAGCCAATTAATGAGTAAACTGAGAACTCTTCTGCTGCTTCTACTAAAACATAGGTTCAGAGGTTGGATACCTAACCAATGGTCAAATATTTGTTCATATTTCCTTATTTACTGAGTATTTGCTAGCCTAGTGATTAGATACATGAGAAAAAGATTTTATCCCTGCACACAGGAGTTCACAGTCTGGTTGAGGAGACCCATAAAGAGACAATTATAATAAAGTGATATTTTCTGTAATAGTGTGCCTTAGTCAGGGATGGCTCATTGCAAGATTTAGAAACCTACTCAAGCCAGCTTGAGTTAAGAGGAATTTATTTAAGGACATGAGGAAATTATATGAAACCCAATAGCAGGAAGTACAGCCTTACTGCAACTCAAGGGCAGCTTCTCTCTCCCACCCTTTTTTTCTCCATTCCTTCTTCTCTGCATGGTCTCGTCTTTGAATTTGCTTTATTTTTCCCTCCATGCAGATCACTTCTCTGCTCATTCATCTTCTCGTCTATTCAATTTAGCTGCCTAAATGTCAGCATCAGACTTTCAATCCATAAGGCTTTATACTTTGACTCTCCACATTTAATTGATTCAGTCTCTGATTCCCAAACTCCTAAGTTTTCAGGAGAGAGCTTCTCATTGACCCAGTTTAAGCCAGGTGCCTTCTCCTGATTTCCCCAGCCTCTTGGAGGCTCTAGGTGGTGCAAGTTCCCTGAGATAAGAGTTTGGGTGGGAGGAAATGATGGGTATCACTAGACCCAAAGGTGTGTATACAAGTGGTAAGAGAGCATTCTATTTGTTTTACTAGTTATATATTCTAAAATAAGTTTCTTTCTTTCTCTCTTTTTTAAAAGGTTTGAATGTTTCAAGATGAAGAACTCTGTAAACTACCATCTGCTTTTTATTTTAGTTCTATTCAGTTTAATAGTAACCACAGTAAGTCATATCTTGTTTCTAACAGATTAAGCATGTGATGTAGATTTGAGAATTGTCAGGGTATAGATAGTACTAGAAATGTGGGAATAGATGAACTGGCACAGAGATAGCATGAACCATTAAGATGACCAAAGATGCAACCCTATGGAACACTTTTTTTTTTTTTAAGATTTTATTTATTTATTTGACAGAGAGATGGTGAGAGCAGGAATACAAGCAGGGGGAGTGGGAGAGGGAGAAGCAGGCTTCCCGCCGAGCAGGGAACCCGATGCGGGGCTCGATCCCAGGACCCTGGGATCATGACCTGAACCGAAGGCAGACGCTTAACGACTGAGCCACCCAGGCGCCCCCACTTCTTTTTTTTTTTTTAACAGAGTTGAAAAAGAGTATATTGTTTGATATTCACAGTCTATCAGTTTGCAAACTTTCATAATGCCTAAAGATTTCAATAAGAGTCATCACTTTATATATACATTCAAGGTATGAAACATGATGCTTTGATACATAGTGAAATGATTAGGCAAGCTGATTAACATATCTTCTCGTGTGTGTGTGTGTGTGTGTGTGTGTGAGAGAGAGAGAGAGAGAGAGAGATGAGACCACATGAAATCTATTCTCTTAGTAAATTGCCAGTATTCAACCCAGTATTAACTATAATTACCATGCTGTACATGGGAACACTGACATTTGAGGGTCAGGTAGAAGAAATGGAGCTAGCAAAGGAGACCTAGAATAAGTAATCAGAGATATAGGAAAACAAGAGAGCCCAGTATAACAGAGTACAAAGAGATTTCTAGAAGGAATAACAGTATTAGTTGCCTCTGAGAGGATTAGTAAAATAAAGATTGAAGTTTGACCTATAAAAATTTCAATTAAAAGACCCAAGTGACCAGGGCGCCTGGGTGGCTCAGTTGGTTAAACGGCTGCTTTCGGCTTGGGTCATGATCCCAGGGTCCTGGGATCGAGCCCCACATTGGGCTCCCTGCTCAGCGGGGAGTCTGCTTCTCCTCACTCTCCTTCTGTGCTCTCTGTCTCAAATAAATAAATCTTACAAAAAAAGAGAGAGACTAAAGTCCAGAGAGTTTTAGTGACTTGCCTGGCCAGCCAAGTTTATATGGAGAATTGGTGGCAGAGTCAAAACTGGACCCCTTTGTAAGTTCAGAACTGATGTGGTCAGAATTACAGGCTTGGGAGTCAGTCAGATCTGAGTTTGGACCAACACTGTTACTTAATAACTGGGAACCTTGGGCAAGTTACTTAATCTCCCTGCGTTAATTTCCTCATCTGTAAAATGAAGATAATAACAGCATACATTTCATATTAGTTATAAAAATTAATACCTGGCACACAGTAAGGACTCCATAATTCTTTTGCCTTAAAAAAATATCTTTAAGAGGCATGTCCTTTTGCATTTCTTTTATTAATAGCAGTGGTAATATGAAACTATGCAAAGGGAAATTAGTATTTTGAAACAACACATTTCAGAGATGAAAAGCATTCTTCCTTACTGAGTTTAGAGTTACAGATATATAGTGTCTCATATACATCTTACTATTAAAGCTCTATGGATGCTTAAAGGAAATAATCTGCTCTTACTGTGTGATGGTAGGAACTTCCTCCCAAAATAAAAAATTTTGTAGCTGAATTGAAAAATTACATAAAATTTTTGTGAGGTCAGCTCTACATTAAATGAGGATATAGAGATATCTAAGCACAGCGTTTGCTGTCAAAGAGATGACTGCCTTGCAGGGGAGAGGAACAAACCAATAAATTACATGATGTTTATACATGGTCAGTGAGGGCACAAAGGAGGGTGAATGGCTGCTCCTGCTGAATGGAGAAGGGACCAGGAAAGGCTTCAAGAAAGAGGGATAGTTTGAGCGGGATCTTAGAAGATGAATGTTTGCCAGCAGGGGAAGATTTCTGAACAAAGTAAAGAGCAGCATGTTTAAAGATGTGGAAGCACTGTACTTTCTGGAGCCTAGGATGAAAAAGGGACAAGAGGAGAGCAGTGAGGCCAGGCAGAAAGTCAGGAGTGAAATCATGGAAAGCTTTGAAATTTGGACTTTGTCTTGTAAGTGATGGGAGCCATTTCAGGATTATGATTTGAATTTTGATACCTCTCTACCATGTCATTTTAAAGGCATACTCCTACAGGGCAGTAAATGCATGCTAAAGCCTAAATAGGCATTGAACTTAATCACCCAAATGATATTGGAGCCTAAAACTAGGATATGTGTAATTGGGAATGCATTTAGGTGATGAGTTATGCATCTAGGTGAGTGTGTTAGAGGTTTTGGAAGTAAAAGAAAGCACAAGAAATTTGTTTTAAATGTTTTCAGTTACTGAGCATATATTATATGCTAAATACTTTCATGTATTTTAGCTTCTTATTCCTCACCACTGTTACTCCCATTATCCAGATAAGGAAAAAATGAGACTTTTGGTTAAGTGATTTGCTCAAGGTCTATAGCAAGTAAGTGGCAGACTCTGAAATTTATCACCTGTCAGTCCAGTGTTCTTTGTGTTGTAGAAAAAATGTGTTATAGACATTGTCAACAGAACCTCTTCACCCCTCCTAACTGTGTACCTTTGCCGTTCCTTGATGCTGATGTAGAAGCTAAGAGGCCAGAGTAATCTACAATAGCTTTGAAACATTTAGTTTACCATGGTAAAGCTAGCACTGGGGGAGACCCACCTGTAGGTACTAGCCCTTCTGTGGCACGCCACCTAATCTGATTGGTTTTACATGGCTAGAGTCAGATCTAAGTAGCAGGACTAGGGAAGCAAGAGAGGTTGGGATTTGCAGAATGGTTGGAATAAGTTTTCTTCCCCTTCAATAATGTACTTCATTCACATGTGTTTCTTTTAATATTTTGTAGGTTTACCTTAAGGTAAAGGAGCCTATATTCCATCAGGTAATTTTAAAAAATTATTACACACTTGATTGTTTAACAGTACTTGCCTGCATTGTGTTTCCCTTTCTGGTAAATTATATGTGATACAGTTTCTGAAAATAAAATGGTAGATGTCCTATGAAAGTGTTTAAAACAGAGTTTGCAAACTCAAGTGCCTAAAGGATGCCAATGCCCAGGCCCGGCTGGCTTTGGTAGTCAGTAATGCAGGTGTAGCATTGCTCTTATAAGAAAAAAAGAGAAAGCATGCATGCACATACACATACAAGGTCCTTTTTATGACATTATTTTCTAGAAAAGATAGACTGAAAATTCCTTGAATATTTCCCCTCCTAATATTTTATGAGTTTTTTAATGTGGGAGGTTATTTACATTGAGGAAAGCAGACATAGGAAACTTTGCTGTAGGAAATAATGATTTAAGTGTATCCCATAATGAAACCAGAGGAAAATAAAGTAGCAGACCCTAAATAAAGAGAGCCATTGTTAATTGAGTGCTATCATGTGCCTGGTGCTATGACCATTACTGCACAGACTCTAATCTCCCCAGCAGTCCTACAAATTAGGGATTACTGTTCACATTTTAAAGGAAATGAGCTCAGAGATAGTGAGAATTTGCCCAGCAGTTACACAGTTATTAAGGGGCAGAGCCAGGGTTGTAACCTAGATTTGTTTGACTCCTATCCCAATTCTTTTAACAAACTAGAAAACAAACAAACAAGCAATAAATAAGGATACATTTCAGGAGTATCAGAAGCCTTGTAGTTTTAGAATATTTTGTGCTTTTATAAAAAGTAAGTGTTCCTGTATCTTTTTAAACTTAAGCTAGATAATAATCATCTAACTGAAACCTGTTTCTTAAATTCCAAAACTACATGATTGTGCCTTGCTTTTCTATAGGCGAGCCTAAAGTCAATATTACAAGAGAGGACATCCTCACTTTCCTGTTTATTTTAGCTTGAAGTATGTCATTATGGAATTACCTCTTTATTTAGAAAGATTTATTGAGGTGTGCCTGGGTGACTCAGTTGTTAAGCATCTGCCGTTGGCTCAGGTCATGACCCCCAGGGTCCAGGGATCAAGCCCCCCCCCTCCCTGCTCAGCAGGGAGCCTGCTTCTCCCTCTGCCTGCTGCTCTCCCTACTTGTGCACTCTCTCTCTCTCTCTGTCAAATAAATAAATAAAATCTTTAAAAAAAAAAAAAAGATTTATTGACACACTGTAGAGGATGAAGTTTATATGAAGAATACTTCACTTTTATAAATTTCTTATTTGTCTTTATAAGAAAGAAAAATCATAAGCACAAAAAAACAAAATTCGGAAATTTGGGGTTAATTTTTGTAAGTTTATGATCAATTTTCCATTTTGTGTTTTAGACCTATTTTACAGTGTGTTTATGTAATAAAAGTAACACACTATTCATCTAACTTCCCATGCTGCAACTCTCATGTGTTTTTTCAGTAATACATATTTTCTTTTCTGTAGATAGTGGTAAATGTTTGCTAATAGGAAGGGAGGGAGGGAGGATGAAAGCTTACAGCTATGGGTTATATACTAGGCCTCTCAGGAGGGAAGTGAAGAAGTAGAGGAATGGTAGGGGGAAGTGGGTAAGTAGTCTGAAGGTAGAAGACATTCATTCATTCAACAGATGTCCACTGTGTACATTCTCAGTACCAAATTCTGAGCTTGAAGTTGGAAATAGGCAGTGGAGCAAAAATTTCAATATCTAAAATCAGGCAGACCTGGATTCAAATCGAGTCTCTACTTACTAACTGTATGCCCTGGACAAGTACTCAACTTCTTTGAGCTTTGGTTTCCTCATTATTCCACAACCACTTTTTAAAGCCTTCAGTATGCCTGGTGCTGGACTAGGCATAAGAGAAGTACTAGTGAATAAAATAATGGGGTCTCTGCTCTTGAGGAGCTCATTATACTGTATCTCTAAAATTGGTATAATAATCTCCTAAGGCTGTCTGAAGATTAAATGAGGTGATGCTGGGGTGCCTGGCTGGCTCAGTCAATAGAGCATGTGACTCTTCATCCCAGGGTTGTAAGTTCGAGCCCTATGTTGGGTGTAGAGATGACTTAAAAATAAAATCTTTTTAAAAATAAGATAAATTTAAAAATAAATGAGATAATGCATATAAAGCCCCTACCACATGGTAAGCAGTCAGTAAATGTTAACTAATATTAATAAACCAAGGCAAGTAAGACATGGTTACTGGTCTCAAGGAGCTCACTGGATAGATAGACTTGTAAAAAAAAGTATTTATAGTATAGTATGTAAAAGCAGTGCTAATGTAGACAAGGGTGCAGTCTGTCTGCTTAGATGACTCAGGATAGGATTACAAAATATAACTATTGCATATAGCTAAATTATTACTTCCTCTAATATTGAAAAACAAAATAGGGAAGATGGCCTACTATTGTAATACAGTAGTATTTCTCGCTATTTGTAATGTTTTATTTGAAGAGGTCTTTGCCCCAAAGTCCAATCTGGAATATTCTTTGCTGTCCTGTTAAGTAATTAGAATTGATTTTCTTCTTTTTAAAAAAGTAAGCTCCACACCCAACGTGGGGTTTGAACTCACAACCCTGAGATCAAGAGCTGCATGCTCTACTGACTCATCCAAGCCAGGTGAGCCAGGTGCCCCAGAATCGATATTTTTTATTTATACTTAATGGCTTAAAAAAATCTATTCCTAATTAGTTTCTGAGTATCATTCTTAAGAAAAGAGAACTGCTTTTTCTGAGAATCTTCTTTTTGTCTAAGTTTGTGGAATATCGCTCTCGTTCTTTTATATCACTGTTGATCTTATATGCAGAAATTTGGAAAAATTGTTTTGAAATTTGTAATTACAAAAATTGTTTTGGAATTTGTGGCTAAATTTACAGTAAGTTTCAAGATCTTAGAAATAATGGAAAAGGAGGGAAGAGCAATGTTATCTAATATAAAGGAACTCTGGCTTGAGAGTTTGGAATTTTGATTTCTTACCACTTTGATTTCTTAAAGTTTGGAATCTCAATTTCTTGCCACTTTGTTATCCATGGACATGCTGTGCCTGTTCTTCAGTTTCCTCATTATAAAATGTTTAAAACAAGGAGAGGTTTTCTTTCAACAAGGATAATATAAAAATACTACATAAGGTAAAGCACAAGGCAGTAAATACGGTAATAGTGTGACAATAAAGTACATATGAAGGTGTAAGATTATGGGGTTAAGTTTCTGCCTATGATAATCACAGAAAGCTTCTGAAAGGAGATATTTGAGTAGGGACTAGACAGATAAGTGGTGGTGGAAGGAAAGAGTTAAACACTTTAAAAGTATCTGTCACACGTGGATGGAACTGGAGGGTATTATGTTGAGTGAAATAAGTCAAACAGAGAAAGACATGTATCATACGACCTCACTGACATGAGGAATTCTTAATCGCAGGAAACAAACTGAGGGTTGCTGGAGTGGGGGGTGGGGTGGGAGGGAGGGGGTGACTGGGTAATAGACACTGGGGAGGGTATGTGCTCTGGTAAGCGCTGTGAATTGTGCAAGACTGTTGAATCTCAGATCTGTACCTCTGAAACA